CCCTAAACCCTAGAAGCGTCGGCACCTGTTTCTTGCTGCGACTCCGTGCCTTCTGGAAGCGTCAGGCCTGTAGGCTGCGGCGTCTGCTGCAGCAGTTTCGGCAGCAGCAGCAACTGTAGCAGCAAGAAACTCAAACCCTCGCATGCAAATGGGGGCCCCCAAACCCCGCTGCTGCGACATCTGCAGCAGCAGCAGCTGCGCCTTTTGAGAGAAGTCGCTGGACACGCAGAGGCAAGTGCTGTCCAGCACTTGCATGAACTGAAACGCAAACCCTAAACCCTAAACCCTAAACCCTAAACCCTAAATCCTCGAGCTGGCACAGTCAGGCGCCAGTTGAGCCAAGCCAGTGCTCGCAGCCCTTCAAGACGCAGCGAGGGTTTAGGGTTTAGGGTTTAGAGTTTGCACCGCACAGGTGCCCGGCTCCACGCGTTTTCGGGTCATGTAAAATCGCCGAGGGTTTAGGGTTTAGGGTTTAGGGTTTAGGGTTTAGCCTGACTGCTGGGCTGTGAAAGTAAGCAGTAGGGATTGCGGACTGCTCCATCATGCGCGTCAAAATCTGAGCTGCTATCAGCAGCACCTGCGCCAAGCCTCCAAACCCTAAACCCTAAACCGTAAACCCTAAACCCTAAACCCTAGACAGTAGCTATCAGCGTTGAAACCCGAGAACCCAGCTCAAAACCCTTGCCTCAGCCTTTGCAGACAGCGCCTACAACTAACTCGCTTGGCAGTCATGATGCTTCAGGGTTCAGGGTTTAGGGTTTAGGGTTTAGGGTTTAGGGTTTAGGGTTTGGGGTTTTTACTTTGAGAGTTTTGTCGGCAAATGCCTTGTGCATGCAGAGCGCCAGCGCCTCAAAGAACTCCTTAGACCTCAGCAGATTTGCTGCAGCAGCAGCAGCAGCAGCAGCAGCAGTATCAGCAACAGGTAAGGCAGCAGCAGCAGCTGGTGCAGCAGCAGCAACACGTGCAGCATTAGCAGCAGCTGCAGCAGCAGAAGAAGAGTGGGACTGAAGCAGCAACCACCAGCGTTCAGCCGATTAACAGGAAGAGCAGCAAAGCCATTTCTGCTGCTGCTGCTGCTTCCCTGCTGCTGCTGCTGCTGCTGCTGCTGCTGCAGCTGGGACGCTCACGCTGCTGCTGCTGCTCCAGCTCTTCTTCTTGCTGCAGCCGCTGCAGCAAAACCCTAAAACCCTCCACTCTGGTGTCTGGAGATCTGTCAAAAATAGCAGCAACACTTGAGGGGTCCCAGAACTGCAGCAGGGGCCCCCAGCCGTCAGCAGCGGATGCAGCAGCTTCTGCTGCTGCTGCTGCTGCTGCTGCTGCTGCTGCTGCGGTGGCTTCAGCTGCGGGTGAGGATGCGGCGGGGGAATATGGGTCCTGCAGCAAGTCAGCAGCGCGCAGACCTAAACCCTAAACCCTAAACCCTAAACCCTAAACCCTAAACCCTTAACCCTAAGCTGCAAAACCCGGGACTGACATGATATCCGGTTTTGTGTTCCTCATGCGGCTCTTCCACTCCAAAGGAAGGTAGCTGCAGGCAACGACGCTCGGCAAACCCTAAACCCTAAACCCTAAACCCTAAACCCTAAACCCTAAGTTCTAAGTTCCAAGGCCCCGCTTCTTATCTCTAAGCTCCGTGAAGTTCTCATGGCGAGTCACTAAAGCCCCCACTCCAGCCCGAGGGTTTAGGGTTTAGGGTTTAGGGTTTAGGGTTTAGGGTTTAGGGTTTGGAGTTTACTTTCTGGTTGAGACACCGCAGCAGCTCCTCCTCAGTGACTTCGTCGTCAGAAGCATCCAAAGGGTCTGTGTCTCCCCGCAGCAGCAGCGCAGCAGCAACGGAGCGCCGCAGCAGCGCAGCAATGCTGTGCAGCTGCTGCTGCACTGCAGCAGCAGCAGCAAAGTCGTCTCGCGCAGCAGCAGCTCTGCAGGCACTCAAACCCTAAACCCTAAACCCTAAACCCTAAACCCTAAAGCCACAATTTTCTGGTGCAGCATTTGTTGGTTATAAAAAGCTAAGTACCTGAGCTAAGCCTAAGGACACTGGATCTAGAGTTTAGGGTTTAGGGTTTAGGGTTTAGGGTTTCCCATAAGCTTAGTTCAGAGCTTTCTTAGCGCTGCGGCTGAAGACCAAATTTCATTCTAGGGTTTAGCTCGAGGGCTTAGGGCTCTTAGTGCAGCTTGGGATGAGGGTTTATCTCTAGGGTTTAGGGTTTAGGGTTTAGGGTTTAGGGTTTGCGGACTCCTTCTTGGCCTCCAGCGCCTGCACCTTGGGAATTGCTTCTAGGGTTTTGAGCAGCGCCTGACTAATGCGAGCAGCACTTGTGAACTGTTCTGCTGCTGCTCTTTGCTGCTTCGCTTGCTGCAGCAGCAGCAGCTGCTGCAGCAGGAACGCGCTGATTCGCCCGTGGCCCAGGCGCTGCAGGGGCTGCTGCTGCTGCAGCTGCTGCGGCTGCAGCAACAGCAGCAGCAACACAAACACAACAAGCAATTTACTTTCGAAACCCTTGCATCTAAACCCTAAACCCTAAACCCTAAACCCTAAACCCTGCTTCTCTTCAAAGCCGCGAAGAAGGCTCTTGCGGACTAATTGAAGGGGCAGCAGCTGCACTGGAAGCGACAGCAGCAGCAGTAGAGAAGCCAGCAGCAGCAGCAGCAGCAGAGGCCAGCAGCAGCAGCAGCGGCAGCAGCCGCAGTAGACGAAGAAGCAGCATTAGAAGCAGCAGCAGAAGCTGATAAAGTAGCAGTAGCAGCAGCAGCAGCAGAAACAACAGCAGCAGAAGCAGCAGCAACTTGCCAGTAGCTGCTGCTGCAGCAAAACCCTAAGGCCTGGGCAGCAAATCCCAGGGGCAGGACAGCCTCCAAGCCTTAGGGAGCGCAGCAGCATCTGCAAAAGCCAAAAAGCAGCAGACATTGCTGCTGCTGCTGCTGCTGCAGGAGTAGCAGCAGCAGATGCAGCAATAGAGGCAGCAGCAGCTGCTGCTGCTGCTGCAGCTCTGCTGAACAGCAACATCCACCTCACCAACACCCCTTACTCAGCAGGAATAGCTGCCGCAGCAGCAGCAGCAGCAGGAACTGCCGCAGCTGCAGCAACCGCAGCAGCAGCAGCAGCAGCAGCAGCAAGAGGCGGCCGTACCTGAGCAACCGCATGGGAACTGATATAATCTGCTGCAGCAAAAACCACCAACTTGATGAACTTCGAATGAAAGTGCTGCTGCAGCCGAACACACTTTAGTTCTTGCTGCTGCCCGATGCGCACAAAGCCAGCTCGGGTGTACGTACACCTCAAATACGCAGCAGCAACTGCAGCAGAAGGAGCTGCAGCAGCAGCCACGGGGCAGCACATGCAGCGACAGCAAACGCTGCATGTCTCCCCTGTCCCGGGTGCTGCTGCTGCGCTGCTGCCTGCTGCTGCTGCTGCTGCTGCTGCTGCTGCTGCTGCTGCTGCTGCTGGCGTAGTGTTTGAGGGGTTCTGTGCATTGCTGTCGAGCCACTGCGGTCACACGAGAACAAGCAGCAGCAGCAGAGGCAGCAGCAGCAGCAGCAGCAGCAGCAGCAACAGCAGCAACAGAGATGGCGCTCTTAAGAGAAATGATTCCTTCTTTGGGCTTAAGCTGGCACAGCGTACGGGCTCATAGTCCGGGGTTAAGGGTTTAGGGTTTAGGGTTTAGGGTTTAGGGTTTAGGGTTTTATACCACTTCCACTTTGGCTGGGCCTTGAGCAGCAAACTGAAGGCAAAAGATGCGGCAAAGGCCCCCAAGAGCCACCCCCACTTCGTAGCCTTTGCTGCAGCAGCAGCAGCAGCAGAAGCAGCAGCAGCAGCAGCAGCCGCAGCAACAGCAGCAACAGCAAGCGTATAGAAGACGGAAAAAAGAGCAGTGGGTGCTCGAAAACAGCAACAGATGCGCACTTAGCAGCAGCAGCAGCAGCAGCAGCAGCAGCAGCAGCAGCAGCAAGTGGCAATAGGGACAGCAAATCACCTGCTGTAGCTGCAGCAGTCACAGCAGCATCCGCCTGCTGCATCTGCAGCAGTTTTGCTGCTGCTGCATGTTGCTGTGTAAACCACAGTGTGTGGGAGCTGCTGCGGCTTCCGGCAGCAGCAGCTGCTGCTCTTTCCAGTGAAATGAAAGAGTTGCTGCTGCTGCAGTAACAGCTGCTGCTGCTGCTGCTGCTGCTGCTGCAGCTGCTGCTGCTGCTGCTGCTGCTGCAGCTGCTGCTGCTGCTGGGATAGTAGCAGCTCCTGCCGCTCTTGCTGCAGCTGCTGCTCCCACGGAACGTCATATGCTGCTGCAGCAGCTGCAGCATTTGCTGCAGCAGATGCCAACCAGCTCTGGAGGTGTTGCGGCTCCACTTGCTGCTCCGGAATTTGCTGCTCCTTTTGCTGCTGCTGCTGCTGCTGCTGCTGCTGATGCAGCTCTTGCTCAGGTTCGCATGCCTCCTGCTGCTCTCGCTGTTGCTCTTGTTGCTGCTCTTGCTGCTGCGCTTGCTGCTGCTCCTGTTGCTGCTGTTTCTCTTGCTGCTGCTCTTGTTGCTGCTCTTGCTGCTGCTCTTGCTGCTGCTCTTGCTGCTGCTCTTGCTGCTGCTCTTGCTGCTGCTTTGCTTGCTGCGCCTGCTGCTTCTGATCTTGCTGCTGCTTCCGGAGCCTCAGGCTCTGCCGGCGCCAATGACTTGTCCACCTGCGAGCGGGGGCCTCGGGGTAACTCTGCTGCTGCTGCTGCTTCTGCTGCTGCTGCTGCTCTTGTTGCTGCTGCTGCTGCTGCTCTTGTTGCTGCTGCTGCTGCTCTTCAGGCTGAGGCTCTGGGGATGGCATCTTCGGCACTGTTGGACATAAGGCCTCTGACGGTGCTGCTGCTGTCGCACTTGTTGCTGCTGCTGCTGGTGCTGCTGCTGCCGCTGCACTGCAGCAGCCACAGGCGCAGCTCTTGCTGCCGCTGCTGCTGCCGCAGCTGCTGCTTTCGCAGCTATTGCTGCGGCTGTTACTGAGGGAGCTGCTGCTGCCGCTGCTGTCGACGCAGCTGTTGCTGCAGCAGTTGCTGACGGAGCTGATGCTGGAGCAGCTGTTGCTGCTGCTGTTGACGCCGATGCTGCTGCTGCGGCTGACGCTGCTGTTGTTGCTGCTGCTGCTGCTGGCGATGCCGCTGGTCTCGAGTCCCTAGTGAGCGATGGCAGAAGCTGCAGCAGCAGCAGCTGCTGCTGCTGCCAATAAAACAGTCTGTCTCCGCTCCTTTAACTCAAGGGAGCCCAGACACAGTAGAAACATGGCAGATGCAGCAGCAGCAGCGGCAGCAGCAGCAGCAGCAGCAGCAGCAGCAGGGATCGTAGCAGCAACGAGCCTGGGTAGGGCGCACACGGCGACTGTGCCTGCACATAAACAGTTGCTGCAGCAATTATGTGCTTTATTCAGCAGCAGCATTTTTAAACGAGCAGCAGCAGCAGCATCTGCTGCTGCTGCTGCTTCTACGCTGGCAGCGCCCATGCCTCGAGTCGGCTGTGACCCTATGTGCAGCAGCAGCAGTAGCAGCAGCAGCAGCTGCTGCTGCTGCAAGAGCAGCAAAAACCTCCAAATAAACTCATCAGGGTATGTTAAAAAATCAAATAATTAATAAATGAGAGGATTTCGGCTAAGGCAGCAGCAACAGCGGCAGCAGCAGCGGCTGCTGCTGCTGCTGCTGCTGCTGGGCATACAGATCTGGCTAGGCCCCGAGACACAGCATGGCCCAGCAGCAGCAGCAGCTGCTGCTGTTGCCACAGACAGGTAAATTTTTTGAAGAAGTCGAACTTTTAATGCATTTTCTGCTGCTTCTGGAGCTGCAGCAGCAACAGCAGCACCGTTGCTGCTCGTGAGGCGGACGAAGGAGGCTGCTGCCAGCAGCAGCAGCAGCAGCAGCAGCAATAGCGGCAGCAGCAGCAAAGGCAGCCAGCAGAAGCACAAATTCTGCAGCAACAGGGGCTTCCAGCATCGGCCAGCTGGGCCCCACACCGAAAGCCACAGCAGCAGGCGCAGCCGCAGCAGCAGGGCGCAGCAGCAGCAGCAGCGGCAGCAGCAGCAGCAGCAGCAGCCTTTCTATAATCTTGAAGTAGATGGCCTCGAAGGTCTCACTGCGGCTGCTGCAGCAGCAACAGCTGCTGCTGCTGCTGCTACTGAGCTGCAGTTGCTGCTGGAGGCAGTCTGCATGCATGTCGCTGCAGCAGCCAGTCGCTGCTGCAAGTGTTCTTGGAACAAGCCCGATTATAGCACAGCAGCAGCAGCAGCAGCAGCAGCAGCAGCTGCAGTACGCAGCGTCAGCAGCGGCACCTATGGCTTTTGTAAAGAGCAGCGGAAATGCATCTTTTCTGCAGCAGCAGCAGCAGCAGCAGCAGCAGGGGCCCCTCGCCTTCTTCAGCTCCCCACAGCAGCAGCAGCAGCAGCACGTGGTGCTGTCACAGCCACTGCAGCAGCAGCTGCTGCTGCAGCAGCAGCAGCAGCAGGGGGCGCCTGCCGCTGCAACCCGTTTGATGTACCAAGTCCGCTTGAAAACACCTGAAGGTTCGTTGCTGCTGCTGCTGCTGCTGCTGCTGCTGCACCGCTGCACGTGTTGCCGCTGCTGCTGCGTTTGGACTTGCGGTTGCTGCTGCTGCTGCTGCTGCTGCTGCTGCTGCTGCTGCAGGAGAAGAGCACACTGTAGAGTGTGCAGAAGATGAATACATTTTGGATGCAGCAGAAGCAGCAGGAATTGATTTGCCCTACTCTTGTAGAGGAGGCTCTTGCAGCACCTGCGCAGGTAGGCTGCTGCTGCTGCTGCTGCTGCTGCTGCTGCTGTTGCTGCTGCTGACGGTCTTTGCCTGCTGCTGCGTGTGCTGGTTCTTGCCGGCGTGCCGGTGTGCGGCTGCTGCTGCTGCCGTTGCTGCTGCTGCTGCTGCTGCTGCTGCTGGCGGTGCCACCTGAGCTGCTGTCCGCCCCACCGCTCGCCCCCGCTGCTGCTGCTGCTGCTGCTGCTGCTGCTGCTGCTGCTGCTGCAGGCAAGCTGCTGGAGGGCTCTGTAGACGGAACAGAACAAAGCTATTTAGATGAGCAGCAGCAGCAGCAAGGGTTTGTGCTGCTGTGCACTGCTTACCCCAAAAGCGACTGCACAGTTCTCACGCACCAAGAAGACGCGCTGCACAATCCCCCAGACCCTAAACCCTAAACCCTAAACCCTAAACCCTTGCCGGGCCTCAGACGCCGAACCCTCACCCCTCTCCAGCCCTTCAAACCCTAAACCCTAAACCCTCGCCAGGGCCCAAACCCTGGCCAGGCGCTAGACCCTAGCGGCTGCCCCCGCAGGCCTTGAACCAGCTCTAAACCCTAAACCCTCGCTAAACCCTAAACCCTCGCTAAACCCTTGGAAAAACCCTAAACCCTCGCTGAACCCTAAACCCTCGCTAAACCCTTGGAAAAACCCTAAACCCTAAACCCTCGCCAGCTCTCTGATATGCGGAATTAGGCACCCGCTCACTATGTCGGGGGCGCGGGAGCTGGAGCCCCAGCTAAACCCTAAACCCTAAACCCTAAACCCTTTCTAAATCCTAAACCCTCGGACCCTTTTCCATACTGCTACTTTATTCGCTGAACAGTTAAAGCCTAGCTCATCAGCTCTCTCCAGCAGACGCAGCAGCAGCAGCAGCAGCAGCAGCAGCAGCAGCAGCAGCAGCAGCAGCAGCAGCAGCAAACACTGTCGCTCTGGCGGACGTGCCTCTATATCGAGGGTTTGAAGGAGTCAGAAGGGCAAGCAAAAAGCTAGGCAGCCAGCTAGCCAGCCAACCAGCTATCAGCTAGCTAGCCAGCTAGCCAGCTAGCCAGCTAGCTAGCAAGCCAGCTAGCTAGGCAGCCAGCCAGCCGGGTAGCTAGCCAGCTAGCTAGCTAGCTGGCCAGCTAGGTGGCCAGGGATGCTGCTAGCTGCTTGGCTAGCCAGCTAGATAGCTAGCCAGCCAGCCAGCTAGCTAATCAGCCAGCCGGCTAGGTAGCTAGCCAGCCAGCCAGCTAGCCAGCTAGCCAGCTACCTGGGTGGCTAGCTAGGTAGCTAGCTAGCCAGCCAGCCAGCCAGCTAGCCAGCTAGCCAGCTAGCCAGCTTGCTGGGTAGCTAGCTAGGTAGCTAGCTAGCTAGCTGTCAGAGTGAGGCCGAATGCTCGCCATGGGGGTGTTGGGGTGTACGTACACTGCGGAAGCCAGAGGGCGCACAATTGGGGAACCTGTTGCATGACTTTTATTTTAATTTATTTTAACTTTTATTTTAATTTAATTTTAGAATAGTTTTGCTGCAGAAGAGCCTGGAAGCAGATATAAATGAATACTTGCTGCGCTGCGGCGGCCGCGGGGGGCCGTGGGCTGCTGTTCGCAAGCAGCAGCAGCACCTGTTGCTGCTGCTGCACCTGTTGCTGCTGCTGCAGCTGTTCCTGCTGCTGCTGCTACTCCTGCTGCAGTTCCTGCTGCCGCTGCTACTCCTGCTGCAGTTCCTGCTGCTGCTGCAGTTCCTGCTGCTGCTGCAGTTCCTGCTGCTGCTGCAGTTCCTGCTGCTGCTGCAGCTGCTGCTGCTCAGCCGCTGCTGCTGCTGCTGCAGCTGCTGCTTGTGAGCAGCTGGAAGGAAGCTTTGGAGGGGCGGAGCGGGGTGTACGTACACCCTAGACTCTGCAAGCAGCAGAAGCCTCAGCAACAACAGCAGCAGGAGAAGGAAGGGCAGAGCCGAACTGGACCAAAAGAGGAACAGCAAGAGGAGTAGCAGCACAAGCAGCAACTGCTGCCTGCAGCGTGGCGTCTTCGCCCTGCAGCAGCTTCTGCACCATTTCTGCTGCTCGCTGCTCGTCAGCCAGCTGCGTGCCCCACGTCTTCCCCACTTGGCCTGCACACGCACCCCACAGCTGCTGCTGCTGCTGCTGCTGCTGCTGCTGCTGCGAAGGCTGCAGCACTGACAGCAGCAGGCGCTGCCGCCCGGCAGGCGGCAGCAGCAGGAGCGCAGGCAGCAACTCGTGCAGAGGCAGCCACACACGGCAGCCGCAGCAGCTCCCGCACCAGCAGCAGCAGCAGCAGCAGCAGCAGCAACGGCAACAGCAGCAGCAACGCCACCAACAGCAGCAGCAAAGACAACGCCAAGAGCAGCAGCAACAGCAGCGACAAGAACTGCAGCAGGAGCAGCAGCAGCGGATCTGACCTGCGAGGTTCACGAGGAAGCACTCCGGATCTACTCCGGTGAGGTTGCAGTCAACGCGATCGTTGTCTGCTGCAGTGCTGCTGCTGCTGCTGCTGCTGCTGCTGCTGCGTTTGTTGAAGTTTTGAATTCCTTCGGTTTTGCACAAACTGGGAATTGCAGAAAGCGCAGCAGCAGCGCCGGAGAAGTCCTCCTGGGTGTCCAGGAAGGCGAAGAGCATCGCAGCAGGTGACCCCGCGAGGAGGATGTCGGGGCTTATTTCGAAGTCTTGCGCGAAACTGGAAATAAAAAAGGAAATTAAAATAGAAATGAAGAAAAAAGAAGCGAATATAAGGCCCAAGTGCTGCATTTTCAGCGGCGGAGTGGGGGGTGGACCAGCAGCAGCAGCAGCAGCAGCAGCAGCAGCAGCAGCAGGGAAACTGGAGAGGAAGGCGAGACAAAGGAAGACCAAAACCTGAATTCTGCTTTTTTTTGAATAGCAACTAAGACAGTTCACCTTTGGATTGCTTTTTATGTAGTAGTTGCGAGTTAGGCAGCAGCAGCAGCAGCAGCAGCAGCAGCAGCAGCGGCAGCGACCGCGGGGTCACTGGCTCCGCTATACTGCCGCCGCCGCTGCTGCTGCTGCTGCTGCTGCTGCTGCTGCTGGAACCTATCTCTCTGCGGCTTGCTGCTCGATCGTGGGGTGAGCAGCGCGGTGTGTTGTTTACTTTGTTTCTTTTTTCATTTTTATTGCAGGTTTTCCCGCACACTGTTGTTTCTTGCTTCCTTCCTGTTCTTGCTGCTGCTGCTCTCCCTGCTGCTGCTCGCGCTGCTGTCTCCCTGCCACTGCTCACTTCCCCTCACCCCCGTCTCTTCTGAAGCAGCGCCGAGTTCGCCTTTTCCTCCTTCCAACTATCACCCCCACCCCCACCCCCAGCAGCAGCAGCAGCAGCAGCAGCAGCAGCAGCAGCAGCAGCAGCAGCGTGGACGTGGACTGCAAGGGGGGCTTCACCGCGTGGTCCCCCTGCGAACCCCTCGAAGGCCACGCCACCCACCACGACCCCGAAGACGACTTCGACCTCCCCAGAGGCCCCGACGGCCTCTTCGCCGGCCGCTGTTTTCAGTTTCGAACTTTTCGCATTTTCGCAGCCGCCCGCGGCCGCGGCAACGCCTGCAGCCGCCGCGACGGCTCGCGGGCGTTTCGCTACTGCAGCGGCTGCAGCGGGGAGTCTGCGGTGTACAGACACCTGGGCTCCCCGCAGCAGCAGCAGCAGCAGCAGCAGCAGCAGGCGGCTGCTGCGCTGCGGGCGTTTGCGGTGCTCGCGGGCGCGTTTGCTATTGCGGCTGCGCTGCTGCTGCTCGCGCTCGGCTGCCGCAAACTGCTGCTGCTGCTGCAGCAGCAGCAGCAGCAGCAGCAAACTCGCATTCCACTCTACCCCCCACAGCCCACAGCGGCGCTCAGACACCACGCTGCTGCTGCTGAACTCCACAAGGACTTTCCCTCTGCTGCTGACGAACTCACCGAGGCCGCCCCCGCCAGGTGAGCTGCTGCTGCTGCTGCACCTCCTCCACCAGCAGCAGAGGCAGCAAACGCGCAGACAGCCGCTGCTAGCTGGAACAGCCGCAGCTAGCTGCGAGCTGCTGCCAACCTGCAGGTCATCACAGCTAGCCACAGCTAGCCACAGCTACCCACAGCTAGCCACAGCTAGCCACAGCTAGCCACGGCTAGCCACGGCTAGCCACAGCTGGCCACAGCCAGCCACAGCCAACTCAAGGTACCTATGGCTAGCCACAGCTAGCTACAGCTAGCTACAGCTAGCCACAGCTAGCTACAGCTAGCCACAGCTAGCCACAGTTAGCTGCTGCAGCCGCTGGGAATGAAGTGCGGCTGCAGCAGCAAAGCAAAGGGCACAAACAGGTGGAGCTCGAGGCCCTCCTGAGGGGAACTTTCCCCAACTGAGATCTTTCTTAAGTTTTAAACTTCACCGAAGCGCTAAATAACAGCAGCAGCAGCAACAGCAGCAGCAGCAGCAGCAGCAGCAGCAGCAGCACTATTTGCATCTGCGCAACTCAGCCACCTAGCTCTAAGCCTCCTGCAATCGCTGCAGCAGCAGCAACAGCAGCAGCAGCAGCACTATTTGTATCTGAGCCACCTAGCTGCAAGCCTCCTACAATCGCCGCCGCCGCAGCAGCAGCAGCAGCAGCAGCAGCAGCAGCAGCAGCAGGAGCAGCAGGAAATAGAAGGGAAGTTGGGAGTTAGGGAAGCAGCAGTCTGCTTCTTTCTCTGCGGGCCCTGGCCTCCTGCACTGTTGCTGCTGCTGCTGCTGCCAGCACCTTCGAAGTCCCCACAACAGCTCCCACTGCATGCGTTGCTGCTGCAGCAGCAACGGGAAAGATTTGCGGCACCCGCGCCACAGCCATGTCCACGCGCGGCAGCAGCGGCAGCCCCGCTTCCGAGTACTCGCCCCGCTGCTGCAGCTGACGCGCTGCTGCTGCTGCTGCTGCTGCTGCTGCTGCTGCTGTTGCTGCTGCTGTTGCGGGTGCTGCTGTTGCGCTTGCTGCTGCTGCTGCTGGGTCGCCCGCCGCCGCGCTTGGCGAAGCTTCCAGGCTTGCTGCAGCTGCCGGAGTAGCTGCTGGAGCTGGCTTGTTTGCTGCTGCTGCTGCTGCTGCTGCTGCTGCTGCTGCTGCTTCCTTTTCGAACTCTGCCGCTGCAGCTTCCTCGTCGGCTTTTGCTGCTGCAGCTGCTTCTTTGCCTTCCGCCGCTGCAGCTTCTTCTCCGGCTTTTGCTGCTGCAGCAGCCTCCTGGACTTCCGCTGCTGCAGCATCTCGTGCTGCAGCTGCTTCGCTGGCTGCTGCTGCTGCTGCTGCTGCTTCCTGGGCAGCTTCTGCCGCTGCTGCTTCCTCGTTCTCCTTCGGCGCCTCAGCTTGCTTGCCGTCCTTTGCTGCTGCAGTTTCCTTTGTGGCTTTTGCTGCTGCTGTTTCCTGTGTGGCTTTTGCTGCTGCTGTTTCCTGTGTAGCTTTTGCTGCTGCAGTTTCCTTTGTAGTTTTTGCTGCTGCAGTTTCCTTTGTGGCTTTTGCTGCTGCTGTTTCCTGTGTGGCTTTTGCTGCTGCAGTTTCCAGCGCAGCAGCTGCTTCGTCAGGCTTTGCCACTTTGAGTTTCTCACTTGCTGCTTCTTCCGGTGCTTCTGCTGCTGCTGCTGCTGCTGCCGCTGTTGCTGCTGCTGCTGCACTTTCCTTGGTTTCTGCCGGCGAAGGTGGCGCTGCTTCTGCGGGCTCTTCAGCTGCGGCTGCTGCTGCTGCTGCTGCTGCCGGTTTGGGCTCTCGAGCTTCTATTTTTTGCTCGCCAGCTGCCTCCTTTGCTGCTGCTGCTGCTGCTGCTGCTGCTGCTGCTGCTGCTGCCGTTGCTGCATCTTTATCTGTGGCTTCTGGCACTGCTGGGGCTGCATCTTCCCCGCTTTTCTTTGTTGCTGAAGCTTCAGCTTTTGTCTCAACTTCTTTTTCTTTCTTTGCAGCAGATTCCTCGTTTCCTGCTGCAGTGGCTGCCTTCGCCGCAGCAGCAGCAGCTGCTGCTGCTGCTGCTTCCTTCGCAGAAGCTGCTGCTGCGTCCCTCGCTGCAGCAACTCCTGTTGCTGCAGTCTTGTCTTGAGCAGCTAAAGCCACCAACTCCGCCTTTTCTTCTGCAGCAGCAACTGCAGCAGCAACTGCAGCAGCCTCAGCAGCCGATTTGGCCGTGGCAGCTTGAGCAGCAGCAGCTGCTGGTGCTGCTGCAGCCGCCGCAGCTGAACGAGCTGCAGCGGGGGCAGCAGCAGCAGCTGCGGGTTTTGGCTTCCCGAGGATCTTTCTCTCCGCTTCATTTCTCATTTCTTCTGCTGCTGCTTCTTCTCTGCCCCTGGCTCTCTTCAAAGCAGCAGTTCGTGTTGCACCTCCTGCTTCTCTGCGAGGGACATCTGCTGTTGGCGCTGCTTTTTCGCCAGCTGCTGCAGCAGCTGCTGCGGGCCTGTTAGCTGCTGCTGCTGCTGCTGCTGCTGCTGCAGCGTTGCTGGCTTCTGCCCTCGGCGCTGCTGCAGGAGCCGCTTGCTTCTCCGCCGGAGTCTTGGCTGCTGCTGCGGGCGCACTTGCTGCAGCTGCTGCAGCTGCTGCTGCTGCTGCTGCTGCTGCGGGCTCTGCGCGGCTCTGCGGGGGCCTGGGGGGGGCCCTTTGCTGCTGCCGCGCGGCCCTCTCGCCAGCCAAGAAGTCCACGAGGCTGCCGACAGTTTGCTGCAGTTCAACTCCTTCAATTGCTGCTCGAAAGCCCCCAGCTGGAGGCTGCAGGACAGTCTTGGCCAGCGAAGTGGCTGCGTCGGAGAGGAAGGCGAGGGCCTGGGGGTTGTCGCGGGGGGGGGGGCTGCGGGCTGCTGCCTGCAGCACGTCTGCTGCTGCTGCTGCTGCTGCTGCTGCTGCTGCTGCTGCTGCTGCAGCGGAAGACGAGGCCAGTTCCGACACCGCCGCCTCCACCGCCTTCTGCACTGCGGGGGAAACTGTGTTCAGCAAAAAGGACAAGTCGAAGGAGACGAAGTGCAGCAGGTCTTTGGGCGGCGCGGACTCTGCGAAATTTCGGAAAATTCAAAAGTTGAACTTTGCGTTATTCTCTTCTCTTATTCGAACTTTCTCAGCAGCAAACTTTCCAGTTTTATTTACCCGCGGAGTCCTCTTCGTCTTCGTCAGATTCTCCCGCGGGAGAAGAAGGGGCCTGTGGCTGCGGAGTTCAACTTTTGCATTTTGCAAAAAGTTGAACTTCTCCGTTTTGGACTTACAACATTCTGAGAGACTGCATTTCGCGAAGTGCTTTGGCCTGAAGTGCAAATAAAAGAAAGCTAAAGAAACTGCAGACTGCGGCGCTGCAGCAGTTAGGCCTACCTCGAGATGGGGAAAGAAAAGTTTCTTGAGGGCCAGCTTCCGGGGCTGCGGAAGCTGCGGGAAAAGCCGCGCAGAAAAGTGCGAAGGAAATGGAAATGTAAAAGGCGAAAAGTGCCGGCGAGAAGTTCATCTTTGGAGCTCTACTTCTAAGGTTGGAACCGCGATATTCAGAGCAGCACCTCCGGCCTCTCAGTGTGCAAAAAAGGGAAAGCTGGAAAAAAACAAGACTTCCGAGGCCCCTTCAAGACGGATTTGCAGCAAAAGGTGGTAAAAATGATTAATTAAAGCAGTCTAGCTTAAAAACAATTTAAAACAATTCACCCCGACAAGACTTGTCAAAGTGAACCGCTCGAGTGCTTGCAGATTCCGAACTCGCAACGCTTCGGGTGTACCGACACATATGTTCCATTGCAAGGAGGAAACTGCAACACAAAAATCATATTTATCTTTCGTTTATTGCTGCGTTTATTGCTACACTTTTATTTATTTACGCTACACTTTTATTTACACTCTCTAGAGCTAAACTCTGCGTTCTTCCGCTGCGCTGCGCCGTGTTCTGTTGCCCCGCTAGCCCGTCCGATTTCAGAAACTTCCCGAACACTAAAAGAGTTTCTGGTGCATTTCAATTGCTATTTCTCATTAATTTAAAAAAATAAATAATTTCAACCCCGCTAGTGGTTCTTATCAACCAGTGGACCGTTGGTTTCCACTCCGAACCACTCCGAGGCATTGGGGCTGCAGCCGCATGTTCGCAAAGACAGCCCTGACCTTAAGAAGAAGGAGATCGCCGGAATTCTCTCTTTAAACCTTTTAATTATTTCCCAAATTCTTTTATTTATATTTTTAATTATTTCCCAAATTCTTTTATTTATATTTTGCAAAGTCTTTGCTGAGTTGAAGACAGTCAAAGCACTCGGGCACGAAGTTTGGCCGCGCTAAAGAGCTTCGGGAGTTGGACTCTGCAGATCTTCTAGCCGGCCAAATCTTCGCTTCTTCTTTTATTTTGTTTTATTCCTTTTGAAGGAAAATGGAGGCTTTCTAGAGGGGCTTGCGTTTGCCGCTGCAGCTGCTGCTCCAGACCCGCAGCAGCAGCAAGCCGCAGCAGCAGCAGAGCCGCAGCAGCAGCGCAGCAGCAGCAGCAGCAGCGCTGGCCGCGGGGCCTGTCTCACCCCTCTGTGGCGTTCCTCCCGCAGCGCCGTTTCCCGCGAACCGGCTTGCTGCTGCTCCCCTGCTGCTGCTGCTGCTGCTGCTGCTCGCCCGCCGCCGCCGCCGCTGCTGCTGCTGCTGCTGCTGCTGCTGCTGCTCGCCCGCCTCCGCTGCTGCTGCTGCTGCTGCTGCTGCTGATGCAGGGGAATGTGGTACGGGCAAATCGTGATCGGCCCGCCGGGCAGCGGGAAGAGCAGCTACTGCAGCGGGCAGCAGCAGCTGCTTGCTGCGCTGCAGCGGCAGCAAATAGTTCTCAACTTGGACCCCATGAATGATTTGCTGCCATACAAATGCGCCATTAATGTCAAAGACTTAATTGACGGCGAAGAAGTCATGCGCAGCCACCAGCTCGGCCCAAACGGCGGTCAGACGCTCCCCCTGCTGCTGCTGCTGCTGCTGCTGCTGCTGCTGCTGCTGCTGCTGCTGTTGTTGTTGTTGTTGTTGTTGTTGTTGTTGCTGCTGCTGCTGCTGCTGCTGTGCTTGCTGCTGCTGCGCCGCCGGTTCGCTCTGCTGGGGCCGCTGCTGCGGACCGCCATTTGAATGCAGCTTTTGCTGCTGCTGCTTTCTTGCTGCTGCTGCTTTCTTGCTGCTGCTGCTTTCTTGCTGCTGCTGCTGTGGGGAGTTCCGGACTGGAAGGCCTAGCAGTGGCTGCGGTTGCTGCTGCTGGGGTTTAGGGTTTAGGGTTTGGGGCCACGGGCCAAGGGTTTAGGGTTTGCTGCCGCAGAACTAGGGTTTAGGGTTTGCTGCCGCAGGTCTAGGGTTTAGTGTTTGCCTGCACGTGCACAGAGGGAGTTTCAGAGAAGCAAATGTGTAGGGTTTAGGGTTTAGGGCTTAGGGTTTAGGGTTTAGGGTTGAGGGTTTAGGGTTTAGGGTTTGCGTGGAGTGTTTTTTGAATTTATTTCATAGAAGTTTTGGAAGTGAGCATCTGCAGTGTACGTACACCTGAAGCGAGCTGGGGTGTATGCGCAGCTATGATATACTGCATGGAATATTTGCTGGAGAATATTGATTGGTTAGTTGAGAAGTTAAATGCTTATAAAAGTAAGCAGCTGCTGCTCGTGCTGCTGCTGCTTGTGCTGCTGCTGCTGCTGCTGCTGCTGCGCCTTTTGCTGCGCTTTCCGCTGCTGCTGCTGCTGCTGCTGCTGCTGCTGTTTCCGCTGGCGCTGCCAGTACAGCCAACTGCAGTTCTTGCTGTCGCAGCAGCAGCAGCAGCTGCTGCTGCTGCTGTGAAAGCGAATCTTGCGCCGCCGCCGCAGCAGCAGCAGCAGCAGCTGCTGCTGCTGCTGTGCAGGCTGGCTGCTGCAGCAACTGCTGCAGCAGCTGCTGCAGCAGCAGTTTGCTGCTGCTTCTGCTGTGTCTCTCAGACCATTATGTGCTGATTGACTGCCCCGGCCAAGTCGAACTCTTTACTCACCACGATGCCCTGCGCAGCATCATCAGACACCTCGAGTCCCTTGATTTCAGAGTAAGCAGCAGCAGCAGCAGCAGCAGCAGCAGCAGCAGCAGCAGCAGCAGCAACAGCAGCAGCAGGTGCCACAAAGGCTGCTGCGAAACCAATTTCTCGCAGCTTTGAGCAACTCCACAGAAAGGCAAATTGAATCGCTTTGGCAGCAGAAAAGAGGTAGCAGTGAAGCAGACCAAGGTGGCAGCAGCAGCAGCAGCAGCAGCAGCAGCAGCAGCAGCAGCAGCAACAGGTACATTGGCAGCAGATGAAGTTGCTGCGTCAGTCCAGCAGTCATTTGGGCTTCTGTTTTGTGCTGCTGCAGATGGCGGCCGTGCAAATTGTGGACAGCACTTTGTGCACAGATGCATTCAAAGTAAGCAGCAGCAGCAGCAGCAGCAGCAACAGCAGCAGCAGCAGCTGCAGCAGCAGCATCGGCAGCAGCAGCATCTGAAGCAGCAGCGTGTCTCACTGCAAATGCTTCATGAGGTGTTGCTGCGGCGGCCACTGTTGCCGCCTCCCAAGCCTGGATAGCAGCTTTAAGGTGCTGCTGCTGCGCCATTTGCTGCTCTTGCTGCTGCTGCTGTTGCTGCTGCTGCTGTTGCTGCTGCAGCACATCAGTGCCTTGTTGATGGCCTTGAACGCGCAGCTGCAGCTGGAGCTGCCGCACGTAAACGTTTTGTCCAAAGTGGATTTGCTGCGGCTGCACAGAAAGGACCTGAGTGGGGCTTTTTAGCTTGCTTGCTGTGCAGCAGCTGTTGCTGCTGCTGCTGCTGCTGCTGCAGCAAGCCAGCCCCTGATGCTGCTGCAGCTGCAGCAGCAGCAACCCAGCCCCTGATGCTGCTGCAGCTGCTGCAGCAGCAACCCAGCCCCTGATGCTGCTGCAGCTGCTGCAGCAGCAACCCAGTCCCTGCTGTTGCTGCAGCTGCTGCAGGGGCATTCACTGCTGCAGGCGTAGCAAGAATAGCAGCAGCAGCAGCAGCAGCAGCTACTGGGGGGCAAGGCAGCAACTTGTCTCTTTACGTTTTTGATGCAGAATTTCGTCTAGAGTTTTATGCGGATGCTTACGAGCTGCAGCCGCTGCTGGAAGCTGTGCAAGAAGACCCACACCCTTTAGGCGTAAGACTGCTGCTGCTGCTGCTGCTGCTGCTGCTGCTGCTGCTGCTGCAGTTGCTGTTAACGTGTTGCTTCATGCTTTAATTCATGTCTATATATCTGAGGTGGAAAGTTAAATTTGGTACCTGTCTCCCCCAACCTTGAGCTCTGATATCTACCCGAATGTATATATGTATATATATTTAATAAATAACTAAAAAAATTAATAAATACATACACACACATATATATATATACATATATATATATATATATATACATGCGCGTGCCTGTGGATGCTCATTTATGATGCCTTTTTAAAATGCTAATGGGGCTAAAACAACTTATAAATGCTTTTATGCTCAAGTAGTTCATTTTATCTTTTTATTGGCACATCTAAAGATAGTATTCATGTCAGGATGCGCATGCATATTGCATGAATGATTTTTCCGGAAATCACTTCTCCCGAGCTAATGTTTCAAAACATTATTTGAAATAATGTTTTAATACATCATTTCAAATGATGTTTTAAAACATAAAAATGATTTTTTTGTTTTTGTGTTGTGTTTGGTTTGTTCGCAGCGCAAACTTATGGACTTCTCTCGTGCCGTGTGCGAGTTGGTCGAGGATTTCAAGTGAGAATTGAGACAAAGACAGACCAAGAGCTGAAATAAAACAAAATGCGGCTAAGAAAAAGTCAAAAATTCAAAATAGAGATATTTTAATCTCAAAATAAAGAGCTATTAATCTCAAGAAACAACAAACTGAGTGAATCTGCATCGGCATGGCGCTTTTGCACTTTTGAATGAAACTGATGGATGGGGCTGCCGTTTATATATCTTCTCATCATTTGTGCATTTATTTTATTTCGTTTTTGAATTTGTAATTTCATTTGGTTCTGGAATTCGTCGCAGTTATTGCTCACCAGTCTATTCCCTTCATGGAGCTGTTGCATCTGCCAAACAAGGCGCAAGACTTGCAGGCTTATTTGCGAGTGCCTTCAACTGTTTTTACTTTTAAAATGCCTTTTTTAAATTGTTTTGAATTGTTTATTCTGCACTTGAAGTGTTTTGGATTTTTTATCCTCCAGTTTGATCTATTTGTCTGTTAATGCCGGCCTTGTGGTTGGTGTCAGTGGCTGGTGTTTGCGGTGGGGGTCCGATGAACTTCTGGCCCGCAGCTCATTCCCTTTAGTATTTATTCTTTCAGCTCATTTGCTTTAATATTTATATTTATTTTATTTTGCTTTTTGCTTTCAGTTTGGTTTCTTTTTATCCGGTTTGCGTCACTGACAAGGAGTGCATGCTGCTGGTGCTGCGGGTGGCAGACGCAGCCAACGGCTTTGCCCTGGGAAACTACGCAGAAAATGAAAGGGGGTACCCTTTGCAGCTTGACACTGAAGAAGAACGGCAAATGCTGTGAGCTGCTGCTGCTGCTAGTGCTGCTGCTGCTGCTAGTGCTGCTGCTGCTGCTGCTGCTGCTGGTAATGCTGCTGCTAATATTTCCGCCTTGGTTCCTCTGCTGCAGCTCTGCGGGGTGCGAAGTTTTTGCCGCTGCTCTGCCCCCGAATTTGCTCTGCTGCTGCGGGATATGCTGCTTCCGCGAGATATGCTGCGGCTGCAGCGTCTGCTGCTGCTGCTCTTGCTGCTTCAACTGCTGCTGCTGCTGCTGCTGCTGCCTTTGCCTCCAGGATCGAGAGACTTCAGGAGCGCTATGTGGACTTTGACCCTGCAGAAGGGGAAGGTGATGCAGAGGCGTCCAGCGAAGTAGATTGAAGTGAACTTAGTGAAAAACAGTTTGTTTTTTATTTACAAAAGACCTAAAATTGTTTAATAACGTAAAACTGTTTTACTTCTAACGAGAAATCAAGTCCGGGATTCTCTGCAGCAGCGCCGTTTGCTGCAGCGACACCGCGCTGCTGCGCACTGTGTTCTGTGTGCACCCCGCATTTCATTTATTGCTGGTTTTTAAAATCTTTTTAAATTGAGAAACAGAGCAGCAGCAGCAGCAGCAGCAGCAGCAGCAGCAGCAGGAGTTCTAGCAGCTAGAGCTGTTGAAGCAGAATCGGAGAACTTTTGCGTTTCAAATCTGAGACAAAAGACTTCAAATATTTCGATGTTTGCGTTAAGACACATATAGTGGAAGCCTTGGCTTGGGCTTTTGGGCCGGTGGCGCCTCTGACTTGAACTCGGGCTATTCGTCAAATGTGTGGATTCATCTTCAAAAATGAAATGTACATGGCGGAGTGATCCGGCGAGCGCTAGCTAGCTAGCCAGCTAGCTAGCTAGCTAGCTAGCTAGCTGGCTAGCTAGCTGAGGCCGGGGCACATCTAGAGGCGGGCAAACACGCTGCGAGGCACTGGCTGGCTGGGGTGCTGGTGGCCACTTCGCTAGCCAGCCGAATTTGCCGCTCTCTGCTCTTGTCCATAGCTAGCTAGCTAGCTAGCACTGTTTGGAGGACACTGTTGCCAGCTGGAAGCGTGGCTAGCTGCTAGCTAGCAGCTAGCCACGCTTCCTTTTCATTGAGCCTTGTGGGAAAGGCTGCGGAGCTCCGGAAAGATTCTAACAAATAGACGGGGGCCACAGCCAGCAGCTGCGAAATGCGTGGAGAGAATGCAGCATAAATGTCTGCTAATTTATCTATTCAAACAAATATTTGGCATTGAGGATTAACACAGTCTAGCGGCAGCTGCAGGCACCTGAAAAGTCCTTTGCTGCAGTTCCATTTGAAGCAACGCACTTACTGGCGGCAAGAGGAAAGCCCCAGCGCCACGCGTAGTTCAACTTCAGCAAACAGCAGCAGCAGCAGCAGCAGCAGCAGCAGCGGGAACTGCAGCAAACGCCGAGAAAAGAGGCTTTAATTGTTTTTTAAAGACCATCCGCGGCCTCCAGGCTGTTTACTAGAAGCTGTCACTGCCAGTACAAAATAATTTCGTCTCACCTGAAACTGCACTTGCAGCAGCCACTTTAAAGCCTTTGAAATCCTTATGTTCATTTACTACATTTCATACAATATAAAGCCATCAAAAGCGCTTCTAAAAAAGTAAGAACAAACCAAACTGGAAATGAAATAGGCTGTGAACATGAATAGTGGCCGGCCGGCGCAGCATATGCCTCACGGACTGCGGAGAAAGGATACGATTTGCTAAAATGGAAAGGTAAAGAATAAATATTGAAGCAATAATGGTGACAACTGTGTTGACTCTGCTGCTTCTGCTGCTTCTTCTGCTTTTGCTGCTGCAAGTGCTGTTCAGAACAAGCTGAATAGGCTGATAAGGCGAAACTGAGTGGCAAGGAAAAGATCCCGTGTAGATAAAAGCTGGAGCATATAAGAAGGAGTCAAATAGGCAAATATGAATAATGTAAAATATGCTTTGGTAGTTTGAATTATAGTTCTAGTCTTTTCCATTCAATTCTGTTGTGAAAGGGAAAGGCACCCAACATATGACAGGTCCGCTGCCAACGCACTTCCTAGGGCCCAGAAGACAAACAAAATGAACAGAAACTCTATTTTTTTATTCATTAGTTTATTTACTTATTCATATACTTATTTATTCTTTTGGTTTTTACTTGAAGGTTTGCCTGCTGGCTGCGGGCTCACTGCTGCAGCTGGCTCTCACGCAGCCCTTTTTTCACTTGAAACTGCACTTGCAGCAGCCACTTTAAAGCCTTTGAAATCCTTATTTTCATTCACTACATTTCATGCAATATAAAGTTATCAAAAGCGCTTCTAAAGAAGTAAGAACAAACCAAACTGGAAATGAAATAGGCTGTGAACATGAATAGTGGCCGGCCGGCGAAGCAATATGCCTCACGGACTGCGGAGAAGGTACATTAATGCACATGTGGAAGATACGATCTGCTGAAAGGAAAAGGTAAAGAATAAATATTGAAGCAATAATGGTGACAACTGTGTTGATTCTGCTGCTTCTGCTGCTTCTGCTGCTTCTTCTGCTTTTGCTGCTTCAAGTGCTGTTCAGAACAAATTAAAAAAATTATTAAAAATTATAGGTAGAAAATTATATAAATAATTTTAAGTTAAAATAGGCTGACAAGGCGAAACTGAGTGGCAAGGCAAAGATCCCGTGTAGATAGAAGCTGGAGCATATAAGGAGCCAAATAAGCAAATTTGAATGACATATGTTTTGGCAGTTTGAATTATAGTTCTAGTCTTTTCCATTCAACTCTGATGCAAAAGGGAAAGGCACCCACGACCTGCAGTAACACGGAGCAGCCTCGAACTTTGTTTAAACTCATGAAAAAAGAAATGGGGAAACAAATAAAAAATAAAAGTAAAAGGCACTTGAGATTAAGGGAAGCTTCACTACAACATATGACAGGCCCGCTGCCAACGCACTCCCTAGGGCCCACAAAACGAGCAAAATGAACCGAAACCTTACCTATTTATTCGTTTGTTTATTTATTTATTCATTTATTTATTTATTCTTTTGGTTTTTACTTGGCAGTTTGCCTGCTGGCTGCGGGCTCACTGCTGCAACTGGCTCTCACGCAGCCCTTTGAAAAAGTTAATTAAAAAATCAAATTCATGTTTTGCTTTGAAGTAGGGTTCTGTTCAGCAAAACGGTTCATCATAAAGTAGAAAAGGAGGGAAACGCCGTCACATGAAAACAGTAGCCGAAGTTTCCTTCATGAAATGACTCTGCACAAAAAAGCTGATTTGGCAAGAGTCTACAACATGACAATAGGGGTCTCTAAGGCTGCTGGATGTTTTCCTCTTGATTTGTATGTTCAATTTCTTGTTTTTTGCTGCTTTCTCGCTGCTTTTGCTTCCAACTTTGTGGCTTTCTTCCGAGTTGACAACAGCGAAACAGCTTATACTTCAAAAGCCATCTGATGTTTGTGGGTACTCTTTTGAACTGCCTAAACCCTAAATCTTGCATCAGAGAAACAGATAAATGCATTTCATTGATTTGGGCTCCAGAAGAGTCCGTAATGGAGGCCTGATGAGTTCATCTGTGTAGGGAAAGTGAAACGTACTCGCTGAAATTGCATGCAGAAAAAGCTCCGAAGACCATTGCCATTGTGCTGCTGTACTAATGCCTCTAGCTTTTACTTGCCTGGAGCCTAAAGAAACCATTTGCTTGGCTGTTTGCTGTGTTTCGGTGTCTTTGAACAACACAGTAGTTGCTGCAACATGCTGCAGGCCTTTTTGCTGCAAGTGCTGCAGTTCGTGTTTCTGCAATCTTGTGTTTTCAGCTGTAAACGCCGTTCTTGCTGCTGCTCCCGCTTCGATAGCAGCAGCAAAGTGAGCAGCAGCAACATGCCCACTCATAGCAGTACCAGCTAAGGCACTTCACTCATTTAAAAATGGTTCAAAGACACATTTGACGCACGATCTGAAACGCGGGGCTGGCAGTGTGTCTTAATATCTACAACAGGCCTCAAATATTTGACTCTAAGGTTAAACTAAAGTTCAAAATTCGGAGAGAATAATGCACAAACACTTACGAGCTGCGAAAAGAAAACCAAAGAGTGCTGCAGCTCCTCCAGGCCTGTAGAAACCAAGTGAGACAACACTCCTTGTCAAGAACTTCAAAAGTTGCAGTTGTTGCTGGTGATCAAGAATGTGGACTAGAAGAACGAAAATATGCGTCACGTCTTGTCACTCACATCCTGGAACAAAAAAACTACATTAGCTAAGCTGCTGCTACAGCAAAATGTGCTTTATATGGCCCTGGGCCACTGGAGGCAACAGATGCACGAAGTTGTCGCGCATGCAAAGCGCTTATCTGCTGCTTTCCAGGAAGACCAAAAGGCCATTTTAAAAACAAAAAACTGGCTTAGATCGGCTCTAAGTGCCATCAAAATAGCAGGCGAGAGGTGCCATAAGAACAACCCACAGCATCACGCAGTGGACCCTAGTTGTGCTTAATTTGCAAACAAAATGCGGGGCTTTTGAAGTTTAAGGAAAACGAACTCCCTGAAGTTTCCATTAAGTTACTACTGTGTCTGGGCCTGCGGCCTACGGCTTAGGGTTTGGGGCTCAAAGCTCATTCTTCAGTTGCTTTCCGGTGGTTTGCAGGATACCCAATTAGGTATTGTCTGCACTTTCGTGTGTGCCCTTTTGGATATATAATTAACTATTTTATTTTCGCATTTGAATCGGCTCTCTGTCTGCTCGATTCATCCGAAATTCGGTTCTCAAATATGGCCAATGCTTCTGCTGCTGCTGCTGCTGCTGCTGCTGCTGCTGCTGCTGCTGCTGCTGCTGCTGCTGCTGCACCAAGCCGGCACCCTTCCTCAGCTGTCCGCTGCGAATTGGGGCTCGAGGCAGGACAAAAGTGGGAAGGTCAGGAGAGCTGGCAACTCACAAGCTAAATTCATTTCACTTTTGCAAACTTTAACTCAATAGTTGGATCTACAAGAGGAAAACGCTTATACTTGAATCAGGCTGGCGGTGTTTCGAGCTGCTAGCACTTAACCAAAAAGTGCACTAATTTAGGCTGAAACCATTTTAGACTTAAAGCCCTTTGCAGATCTCACTGAAAAAGCTAACAACTCACATCCTGCTTTCCCGAGAATTTTGCGGCTGAGACCTTCGAATTCTTAAACACGCAAAGAGACTTTGACTAATTCTTTTGTTTGTATTTCCTCTTCAGTGATTTGCACAAAATGCAATAAACTCTTTTGCTTCTTCTAATCCTCCAACGTTGACACATTAACCTGAAAGCTTCCTCTTCAGGTTCCTGGGGCAGCTTTTAGCTAGGGCTCATGATCTGCATTCACAGCTAGCAAAGATGCGAAAAAAACATTAG